ACATGCAAAATAGCCTATAAACTCCTTAATGCCTAAATATATAGTCACACTTACAACTCTCTTGAAATGGATCTTATTCTTCATGGCGTCTGGGCGAATTCCCATTGAGAGGAAATGGAAGTGTAGATCTATAGTGGGATAGATACGTAATGGTACAATTTCAAGCGTACTGTGCCAAAGTTGCTTTGGGCTAAATTGAAATGGAGATTGTTATTCTACTAGTAGTCCAGAAGAACTATCTAGTTGTGATTTTTAAATGGCTAGTAGTGACAAAAAGCAGATGAGCTGCTTGTCAGTTGTCACTTTTGCTCGAGCCTTTAAAGGGCTGTCATTATGCAGAACAGCAAATGACTTCTAATACCTTCTGCCACATCTCTTATTTCCTTTTTGCGTGGAATTTATCACCTCTAATGTATCACTACCTAATTTTATTTTACAGGGGAACATTTTATCAAGGCTATTTATGTTCTAAGTGTGGAGCTGGAGCACACAAAGAATGTTTAGGAAGATTAGACAATTGTGGCAGAGCTAATTCAGGTGGTAAGTCATTTTTATTGTTAGAATACCATTTTTAATTAGGACATAAAACTTTCTAGATATAATTAAGGTTTAATTTACCTCTGATTTGTGTTCATTGTAACATACGTACTTGTGAAACTACCATTTATAAGCACAATTAGAATTGCATTTAGAATTCATAGGGATTTTTATTGCTACTAAATTGAAATGTTCGAAAGCAGGAGAGAACTGTTATAGGTCAAACCCAATTTTTTTGTCAATGTCGTATACAACAAGGGATTGCTCTCGTTTTAATTGTAGACTGCTCATATGTAACACCTACTGTACGGCATATCATCTATCTTCCTTGTGGTTCTCCCTTTATGTCTATGTCAATTTTCATATTTTCTTCTCAGCTCCTAAAGCTGTTTGTTTGTGTTGCCTCAGCTTCCTCTTTCATCTCTTTGGTTTCCATGGTTTCTGTCCACTCACAATATTCACAAAAAGGTGATTGATGACTCTCTACTTCCCTCATCTAAGGACCATTTTTTTTTCCCCTCTTCTTTTAATCGATTGCTGTACTCTGTTTCTTCCCTGGCCATTGTCACTACTGTGCACTTCTATTCTTCTTCTGCTCTTTAGGACCTTAAGGACTCTTTTGACTTCAGCTAACATTTGGTCTCCCTCAGATGACTCCAAATATGGCCTCTTCCCTTTCTGCTCAGTACTGTATCTGTAATTCTCTCTCTAACATCTTCTGGATCTCCCACTGCTAATGCCAAATGTTGGCTCTTATCATTTGCCCCCCTTCCCTTCCCTGTACCTATTCAGTTGGTGGCAGTGAGCTTGTTACACTCCAGCCAGCTAGTCATGTAACCACAGTGTCATTTTTGACTCTTCCCTCTGTCCAGGTTCTTAACTACTCTTTCTTCTTTCTAGAGATGATTTGGTGCTGATGGGGGGGACAACTGACAAACACTCCCCCCCCCTGGAATTTCACTCTCCATTAATATGTTTGAATTCCTGTTGTTTAAAAGAGAAGAGCCATTGGAACACATGATGATTTCTGGAAAGTGTAGTTGTGTGTGTTGCAGGAATTTCTAATTAATTGTCCTTCTCACTTCTCTAAAACCTATACATTCCTTTCCAGAATTATTTCAGAATAGTTTGTGAAGCTTCTCATGTCTCACATATCTCACATAAGCTACTGCAACCTCCTCCATTGGGTTATTTTCTTTTTGACATTACTATCTACAATGTTTGCAAAATGCTGTTGCAGAGATAATTTCTCTCCCACTGCTTGAATTACATGACGACTTCATCCACTGCTCTTCACTAAGCTGCTGCTTCAAGATTTTGGTTCTAGCTTTTTGTTCCTTTCAAAGTTGTATAAGCTTGTTTCTTTGTCTTTGTTTGTCGTTGCTTCCTGACTTCTACTTGGCTTTTGGCTCACTGTGCTATTTATTTGCCTGCTTCATTCTTTTATGAAATCGTCAGGATGGCAGGTACTGACTTCTGCTGCAGTCAGTCAACTTTATTTTCTCAGTTGCTTTCCTGTATTGGAGATCTTCCATGCTATCCTCTAAGTCAGGACTTTCTAAAAATAATCTTTTGTAGATCTGAAAACCATACAATCAATCACAGTATTTTTCACTGAAATCCTTTTTGGAACATGGCTTTTTCGCAGAACCTCCTACGGATAGTCTAAAGAAAATAAATATTTAAAATTATATTAGAAATGGAATATTTTAAAGCAATTACATTTAAATTAATAGAGCGGAAAAACAAACACATACTGTTCTTCACAAGACAGCCATCTTCTGTGGTATAAACCACCCCTACTTCTACTTTTTTCTTTCTTTGGCACCTTCTGTTTTAATCGCGTTTGTAGTTTTTACTTTAATTGGATAGCTGGCACCCCAGGAGGCAGGAGCTTGTCTTTCTATTCCTCTGTAAAGATCTGTGGACATATATGGTGCAACATGTATCAGTAAGAATGACCATAAATGCTTAGATAACACAAGGTCTGATTTCTTGCAGTTTTCCTGCATACATACTTAAGTAATGCTGTGCACTTGCTAGAGGGAACAAAATAAAGAAAAAAAAAAATCACATTTCTGCTTCTTTGTAAATGGAATAAATTATCATTTTACAACTTCAAAGGAGCAGAATGTTGTTTTGGATTTTACTTTAAATCATTGCCCTGATTTTTGTGAAATGATACTGTACTGAGTCTTTCTTTACTGAAGTTGGAAGCAACTGGATTGTTAAGATACTGTTTTGTGTTACCTGTTTAGCTTACATCCCGGAGTTCCGCTCTCTGTCCTCTCCAAACTTCTCTTTCTCTTTTCAGTCTATTTTTCCTCTGTGCAAAGGCTCCCAGATTTCTGTAGCTCTAGTACAAGCTAGGAGAGTTGTGTATCTTCCACTGGCTCACGAGGCAGAATGACAGGAGGTGCTAGGCTGTGGCTTCCTTACAGCCTGCTCTGAGAGTAGGTCATAGCTGCAAAACCAAACTCTAAATTACAGTTCTTGCCATGCTCCCCCTTGCTCTATGAATGAACGAGTATGGAGAGGACAAATGGTTTTGCCCATTTTGCTGAAAATGCGTCTTCTCTCCACCTGGTGAGGGACTTTGGCCACTGAGCAGGAAGGGAAATCCGGAGATTTTTCTTTGCCTTTTTCCATTTTTACTCTTTATTTGCCTTTTTAAAGAAAGACGTGTTGATTGAGCACTGCTGCCCATTCATAACGCGCACAGAGTAAGGAAAGGTTTAAGGGGGAGCTTTACTGGTTCCTGCTTCCCTCTATGGTCCAGAAAGGGATGGGACAATTCAGACTCTCTTAAATACTGGTTTATGCAACTTGAGTATGAATGATTTTCTGGAGCTGTTTTCACTTTTCCAGAGCTATGCTGAGAAATGAGGTCTCCTGTAAGTTTTCTGCCATGCCTGCTAAGTTATGAAATGTTATTAAAGGAATGCAGACACAAAGATATCATGTAAAAGTCAAGATTTTCACTGCATTTTGTGGAAGAAGTATGCTCTGCATGCATGAAATTCTAACATAGTTTTAATTTTGAAGCTTTTCCTTTTGAAATCTTTAGAGAAATTAATTTATGATAAATTTAATTTTTCTAGTGGTGTCATTTGCTGCTCCTGTGGGAAATTACCAAAGGTGGCCTGAGAATGCTATTAGATAAGAAATTGTGGAGCATAGCCGGAATGCTTCAACGGTAGCAAAATGCCTGGAACATTTATTGGATCGCTATGTGTTTCTTTTGTTTCTAGGGGACTATGACAGCCTTTTTCACAGGGTGTAATGGGCATGAAACACAATCATCCTTTTAGGAAACTGGACATTATTATTCCCCAGTCATGTGGTATTAGTTACGGCCACAGACATGGAGTGCATATATATATCTCCCATGATATATGTGTGGTCTGTTTAATCTGGTGTTCTGTCATTCTGCCAATGGTTGATTCCAGATGCTTCACAGGAAAGTGCAAATCCTCTGTGTGGCAGACAATGCCCGGGAATGATGCTACTTTCTTAATCCTGTTAAATTTTCTTTTTATCTTTTTGGTGTTCTAAGAGTTTTTACATCTTGTTAATGCTTTTGCATAGCTTCCCTATTTTTGTTGATAAAAACATCTAACTGTGTTTCAGAAGTTTTGGAACAGTGAGTTCTGTAAAGTGTTTGTTTGGCTTTTGGTTTTTGTTGGGTATTTTTGTAGGTTGCATATCTTATCCTGGTTATGCTTGGCCTTTTTACCTTTTTAATTTAACATGCAACTTCGTGGGTTTTTGTGAGAAGAGTCAATGGAAGTCTTGACTGACTGCTTCTATATGATAAATTATTTTATAACTTCTCGTGACCTTTTGTTAGTATACTCTCTGAACTGAATAGTCTTAAATTTTTTTTGTTGTGTCTTCATAAGTGGAACTTTTTCTGTGCCTCAAATAATTTTCATTCCCATTCTGTAGACCTCTTCTATTTCCAGAGGTCTATTTGAAAAGAGGTGATCAGAATTCAAAACACTGCAATGAGAATATACCATTAGGTTTCTTAAAGGCATTTGAATTTTCCTCAGCGTTTTCTGGTTTTGTACAGTTTAAGATTTTGTTTTCTTTTTAGACCACTGAGCAGATGTTTTCGCTCGCCTTTCTGAAATGCTGCTTATAGAACCTCCCTGAGTGGATTAAATCTTTTTGTATTTCATTCCAAGCCACAGTGTGTGAAAATTCAAAAGACAGACATCCAAAGACAGATGAAACCTTTAGAATGACAAATTTAATAAGTGTCAGATTTAGATGATACTCTTATGAGAGAAACATTGACAAAATCTGAAGATAAATTGCTGTGTTGCCATGCTATGCCTTTTACACAAACATATGACAGCTCTTCAGATGTTTTGCTTCAAAGGCCAGTTCAACAGATTATAGAAGTTGCAGCGATAAAAGATGTAGAGTTAATCAGATGAATTAATAAATAGAACAAAGTGTCTGCATTTAGCCCTTGGTTTTTTTTGTTATTTTTCCTGCCCTTGTTGCCATAAATTGGCAGTGCTGGTTGAAGTCTTCTGTGCTCGTTTCTGTCATTATTGATTTAACATTTTTCCCCCTGCAATGCTGCCCTGTACATGCTCAAGTAGTCCTTCTGCACTTTCATGTATTTTAGTTTTATGCCCTATCACTTAATTTTTCTGTGACTTGAAATCCTCCGTGCCCCCTCTTTTTTGCTAATGTTCTAATGAACTCCTTCAAGTCTGATTGTGCAGTCTTAAACACAAGGCCTTATGAAATCCTTAAACACAAGGATTACAAAATGGATGCACATATTTGTCTGACAGGGCCATTTGTAAGGCACATGTGGTGTTCTTTTCTCTGGTGGCTGATGTGGGGGGGTCTCCTCTTCCCTTTCCACCTCTTCTGGCTTCTCAACTGCACTCCTATGTCTTATTTCAAGGCACAGGACAACTTTACTTACCTGGTGATGCTCTCCCACTAGTTGGAAGGGTTTATATTTGGGAATGGTTAAGAGTGGGACCTTTGGTAAGCGAGAATGAGTAAGACACACCTTTAGTAGACGAAGGAGAAGCTGTCTCCCTCATTATTCCCACTTTCATTGTACAGGTTGTTCTGTGGCCCTTGCAATTTCTGCAGTATCACTCTGCCCAGAACGTAGTGCAGAACTCCAGTCTGTTTCCTAGCCTAAACCAGCAGAATTAACAATCCATTTCTATTGCCAGACTGGAATTTTTTCCAAGTCCGTCCAATTATATTGAATTAAGTATTCTCAGGCAAACGTCTGGTGGTTCCACAGGCTATTGAATATTTCAATTAGATGAACCCCCAGTAATGGTTCTAAAATCTGAAAACATTTTGAATATTTTAAATATGATGCCAAACCCACAAAATTTTCTTCTTTATATCGCTCTTCTCAGGGAATGTTAGAAGCGTCTCTCATCAGGGCATAAATGGATTAGAAAAACATTAACTGGGCATTTTTATAGTAATTTTTAGTTAACTTACGCATTATTCCTTTAGATAATTCCATTTGAAGAAGTACTACGTTTCCTTAGGTGGAAAAGAAGTTTCTTCGACGGTGTGATGAACTTGAAAGAAAACGTTACCGTATGAATGGGTTAAGTTTAGAGTTGCTTTCATATGGTAATGTGTATGCCCGATAATATGGTCCCTGCTGTTTATGTAATAATTGCTTGCTACAGCACATTAGAGATTATTCATAAAAAACCCATGTGTTTTGACATCTAAAAAGAAACCAGCAGCGTTCACTGTTTACCTTTTTGCTGGCTTGATCAATAGTTGCAAAATTGCTGGCTCTCCTCCAAACCTACCATGTCAACAGCATTGACAAGTAAATGCTCAAATCCCGGAGTGTTCGTTGGAGTTATGCCACTTTTTATTTAACTGCAACAAAGGTTGAGCTGTATTTGTTTAACTAACCATCCTTGCTCAACCTGAACAAAAGTCACTCAGGGGGCTTGATATTCTGTGCAGAACCCTACGCTATGGTACTTCTAGGTCACGATTTGCTTTTCTTCTGATTATGCAGTGACTGGCTAAATGACCAGAAAGGGGCAGGTAGTCCCACAGCTCCTTCAAAGTGGCTTACTTTATAGTTCCTGCATTTTAAATATTTCAATTTTTCTTTTAAAATAGGAAGGTGAGTAGTTTACTACATACCCTTTTTATTTACTCTCCATTTAGTTAGCATGTAAATCCAGCTGCTCTGTTGCATCCCTGAGGAGCAGCTTATTCCTATTTTCCGATCTGTGCTCCCTCACTTATCGAGGCCAGCTGCTGCTCCTGTTGCTTTTGTGGTAAAATATAATTATAAAAATGTGACCCAATGGTATCATGGCCTCAGTGAATAAACAAAAAACCTAAAAATTGTGCTGAACTGTGGCAGTAAAAGTAGCTTGCTGTCAGAACGGAGAACTCACTCGATAATTTCATTGGCACATTGGTGATGAGCAGGAACTTGAATTAAAATTGTCATGTGTAAAATATCTGCTGGTGGATATCCTCAGACATTAATTTTTTTTCTAAAAATAGAAATAAGTAGAAATGAGGTTTTTTTGCTCTTTTGCTTGTGTAACATTTGGAAAAAAGATCTCTCATGAGGAAGCAATTCACATAATTCAATACAGAATATTCTGAAATACAGGAATATTTAAACTGTAATGCAATAACAAGACAAGCATAAGTCTTATTTTTTGAATAAGCTTTATGCGGAAATACAGATACTGGACATTTTTCTGTTCCTGAAGTGTTAATAGTGAAGTCACAAATGGCATTTCGATCCATCAGTGTTGGCAAAGTTTTGGGCTTTCTTTTTAATCCAATTCCCCCACCTCCCTTTTCATGAAATATGTTTTATGCAAATTATCAGGAGTATTTATTACCGTCCTGTGGAGTGCTTTCTTGAATCCAATTATTGAAAGTTGATCGATGCGTTTCTTAATTATTGGTTATGAAAAGCGTTGGGATGCTACAATCACCAAATGGAACTCATTCATCTAGTTGGGTTTGGGATATTTCCTAGAGGTAAAAATAATATTCAACAGCGACCATTAAAAATCAGATTGATTCATTCCCATTGGAGGCTAGAATGACATTTCCATTTCATTTTTTTGATAAGAGATCTGCAGAACTAAGTATAGGCCATTTAAAAAAAAAAAAAAAGAGAAGAAAAACCCTAAGCCTGGATTTGAAGTTTTGGCCCCCCCTGCAAGTATTTACCTAAATGACTTCCCATCATTTTGAAGTCATTTATAACGCTGAGATGAAACATTCAAAAAAGGTGATTTTATTCAGATTTTGGCAAACATTCTGAAAGGTGTATCAAATTGTGAAAGTAAATAGCAAAATTATATTGAATTTCAGCAGCACTTAGGCAACTGATTCCCTCAGGCTCCTTAGAAAACCTCAGTAGTCTACCTGCACCTCCTGCTTTGGGGCGGGCTTATTGTTCTTCTCTTTGCCTACTATACAAATGCCAATTAATATGTTTGGAAAGGTTATAATCATAAAAGTGTTTTCTGGGGATGACAAGATGATGCGTCTTTGGCGCACTGTATGAGAGAGGAAACAGTGACTGAAAGCGTACGTGAGAAGAGAGCTCTGCCAGTTTGCAGTGGTAAACGGGCTGTGCCTGCCCGGCCCAGAGTCCTCAGCTGCCGTGCTTGGTCTCGGCATGCCTTATCATCTTCACATAAAATGCTAAAAGCCAAAGATTTTTTTTTTCCCACGCTGTACTATATAATGTAATTTTTTTTTTTATAGCAGAACAAAATCTACTTGCAGTTAAAACTTTTTAGTTGATTTACTGTGACTATGGCTTACTGTTTACAAGATATTACAGTGAAAGTTTTCAAATGTGATGAAGTACAGACCAGGCATGTGCGGTTTGTGCTTTGCCTCAACAGTGTCTGCAGTCCTAGAGAGCGCACACAGGTAAATACAGCTCTCTGTGCTTTGATAAGGCACCGAACCAAAATCTAGAGTACACCTAAATACCTGTTACCAGATTAGACATGCAAAGAAAAATGTAAAAAAAATGCCCCTTTTTGTGTCTTTTGTGATGTGTGGTGGTGTGTGCGTGCGCAAAAGTGTTATGTCGTGATGCAGTCCTTCTGATCACCCACAGAACTTTTTTTTTTTTCCTCATTTTTAAATAGTACAAGAAAATTCATAGCAAAAGAGGCAGATAAAACACCAATGGCTTCAGAGTCTGTGGTATACTAATGCAATGCTGAATTGAGCTTAAAGACACGAAATAGAGAAAATCTTGAGGCTGAAGGTGTGCATCTTCTCTTGGTATACGTTGGCACGCTATGAAAAGACAGAGACAAGAAAAGGTGTAAACTCGCCTTGCGCTGCAGAACTGTAGCTTGTGAACTCCCAGCGAGTCAATATTTATAAAGTATTTTTGAGACGCTCTAACCTCATCTAAATGAACTAAAGGTTCATCAGGTTTCGCGGACTGGACTGCCAGGCCGCCGTTGGGCCGTGCAGCGTAACGTGCGGCTGGGAGCCTGTCCTAGCCGGCTGGGCGCTGCCCGGCGGGACCGGTGGGCGGGGAGGGGAGCGCAGCAGGGTTTGCACAACAGGACCTGGTGCAGCCCCGGGCTGCCGGGGCGGCTGCGGGTTTCAGGTAGCGAAAGAAGGCAGCAGTGTTCTCTGGAATGCAACACGGCACAGACTGAGATCGCTATATAAAAAGCGTACAATTTACAATCGCCAATAATGCCAATTTTTACTTATGTTTCAGAACACGGGAACCTGAAGCATGAGGTAAGGACTTGTTTTCCTTTGCATGTGGTGTTTGTTTTGTTGGTGACATAAGAGCTCCTTATTTACTTTGTGCATGTGCTGTTGGAGCAGGTATGTTTTTCTTCTGCTTTTAACAATAGATTTCTTTAAAGTGGTGGAAAACAGAAGTTGTCTAAGAAACAAGGTATTCATAATTAAATATAAATGTATTCTGTTCAAAGCGTGAGTCAATTTTCAGTTGATATGGCTTAATGCCGAGAGCACTGGAAGGCGTGGAGATGTGTTTTTTAAGTTACAGGTAAAAAACATACATTGCTTCACAACTGATGTCTAGATCCGTACTGTTCCTAGACCAAATCTGGCAGTAGAGTTAAAAGTAATTATTTTTTTTCTTTTTAATGCTAGCGAGTCCTGCTGGATTAACATGCTAGTGTACCAATCTCTGCCATGCCAGACTGCTGGGCGATGAAGGATCGGCAGGGCAGTGTTTGCCTCTTCATGTAAAGACTTTAGTTGCAGAGCTGTCCAGCGGTTGTGGAGTTTTATGTAATCTGGGCAGGATGGTAGAACGGGCCCTGTACAGAGGAGCGACTGTGGTGTACGTAGCCTACCTTGCCGTCAGCCCAAGAAGGCTGCAAGCTACCCTGGGTTATTTTCTCGCCAGGCCCTGGTGCCTTTCCACTGAAGCAGAGAAGGGCATGGCAGCTGGGTTTTGTCTGCCAGCTCTGACAAGAGAGGCGCAGCACTTTAAATGAGCGTAATAGTTTCTGGCATCTATTTTAGATCAGGAGTTTATGGTAATATAACTGCTTCAATGACATGCTGGTTATGAACAAGGTACGAGCGTGTATATTGCTTCTCTCCATAAGCATGTATGTGTTCGGTGCTGTCACTAAAACGGGTAGTGGAATCGGAAGGATGTTATTGCCGACATGACCGGTGCAGGGGGTCGTCGTGCGCAGGGCTGACGATGTCCGTGCCCTCTGACGTTTGAGCTGTTTTGGCATCGCCGTGACCCCAGACGGCGGCGGGGGCCAGGC